TATATATATATATAGACAAACAAATAATTTATGAGTAGAGTGTCATAAATGTTATACTTGTACCATTGGCCATAGAGATTAATCAATGAGATATTTATACATTCTATTTTGTGTAATAATAAAAGTAACTTCCAATCAGAGAAAGTTATGTACTTAGAGATAAACCTAGCCATCAGTAAAGCTATTTTAATATACTTTTAATATATTTTTACTGATAAAGATTAAAACAAATTGTTCCATCAGTTGAGTATCCTTGCTGTTAACAATATCTTAGGTTGTGTAACCGAATAAAAATATTTATACAGTTGAAAATGTAAAATTTAATAAAGCTGAAATTTGTATACTTGGTCTTAAAACTTGCAAACATTTATATATTTTAGAATAGAGTACAGTACAGTGATATTCATAAACTTAATAGAGCTTAATGAAAGTGATATATATATATGTATGTTTTTGAATTTCAAACTGAATAAAGATTAGATTATAAAGTTGATTGTAAGGCTTAGTTAACCCATTCACTTTGGCTGATACGTATATTGTCTCTACATTTTTTATGTTGACTGCAGCTGCTACACATATGTGTTCTTTTTTTTTAAAATTCCCATGGGAGGCATTACATCGTAAGTTTTGTTGTAATGATGTCCATTGACATTCCACTATATGCTGCCATACAGTAAGTCAATTATTTCCACCTTGTGTGCATCAGTTTCCATTAAGATGTCAAAGAGGCCTGTACAACATCTTGCTGCCAAAGCAGCATGCACCACTGAAGCTGGAGAAAAATACAGATTATTTTATAGATTTACTAGATAGCCTTGACTCTGATAGGTTGGTGCCATATGTGTACCAGCTTCAGTGAAGGGGTAAGATATATATAAGCATACAGTTTGATTAAAATGATATACTTGTACCAACAGGCAAGTATAGTGTGTATGCAACTTTTGAAAGGACAAAAACATTATACGACAATTAATAAAAGTGAGTTTTGCTGGGAATTAGCCTTTTTATTTTTTTTGAGGAACAGATCTTGCTATTTATCTGTTGTGTAGAAATAATAGACAGTAGGTTACATATCCATATACATTACTTCATACAGAATACAAAAATGTCTAATATTATTAATGTTATCTTTCATAAAATGCATGTAAAATTCAATAAAAATATCTCTATATAATTTTCCTATTATGTGTTTTCGCAATAAAGATAAGCTGAAGTACCAAATTAATTTGGATAGATAGTTGTTGAATGTAACTTTTAGGTATAATGTTTATATTATGACACAGGATCACGTGAAAATATATTTGTATACAACAGACATGTAAATAAATATTCATGCAAAATTTATTTTTATTGCAAGATAATATTTCATTAAATGGAAAGGACATATATTGTATAGTGTATTTAGTATTGTTTATTCATTTTAAATTGAAGTTTTAACTATTGTTAATTTTATCTGTGTGTGTGTAATAATAGAATATATATATATGTGTGTGCATGTTTATATACACCATAATGAAAAGTAGAGATAAAATCCTTAAACTGAATGTAAAAAGTTTGTAGTTAACAAAGAATCAGCAAGTATATACATGCAGATTTTGGCCTTTATTTGTTTAGAACACTTATACACTGTAGTCAAATAGTACTTTAAATTGATCTGTTTAAAATGGTGATTTTTTTTTTGCTTGTATATCTATAATTCAAATATGGTAGTGCATGTACTTACTGAAGAAATCAAATAGTTACACTAACAGGTTCAGTTTAGCAGAGAATTTGTCAGATATTTGAGATACTGGTTTTATGTTTCATATAGAAATAGTATCTTTAGAAAGAATTTTTGAAAGCTTAATTGTTCTTACTACAGGCAAAAGACACAGCTTTACAGATGTGGCAGTTATCTTTGGAAGAAATTGAAAGATTAGAGAAGGAAATACAGGTGTGTATATGTGTTCACCTTAATGTTACAATACACATTTGAAATTATCTTACAATTTCAAAAAGTGAGTTAGCTGAAAGTAAATATGTATTCTATATGTGTTATTTATTTGAATGCACTATGGGTTGTACATGTTCCATCTCTACTTATTATGATCACATTAGTTTTACTGGTTGGGTATAGGAATATATAAATTTCATGTAATTTATACACCTTAGAAAGTTTTTGCATGAAAATAGTATATCGCATTTAAATCGTATAATACTTATATGAAGTAAAATAACTTAACCATAAAACTACAATTGTTAACTTCGTATAGGGAGTATCTAAAAACCGATATTCATGTTTTCTGCTTGTTTTCTTAGCAAAGTAAAATAGATAGAATGTATGGATTTCATAAGTCAAGATACGCAAATTGATGAAAGCATTTTACTATTCTGAAATGGAAATAAAAAACCTACATAAGTTCTTTCATGTAAAACTATACAAAAATATCATATCTTGAAATTTACTTTTTTACTATAAATTTTGTTCCCTACTGGTCAGCAGGGTTTGATTATCCTTGTTAACCTGTTATGTAGCTTTTGTGCTAAAACAAACAAACAGGCTATAATTTTTTATGTAATCTCTGACTTAGTGCAAATATTTTGGTTTTGGCTATAAATGACAAATACACCTGTAGCAAGTAGTTGGAAAAGATAAAGAATTTGTTGAGTAACTTTCAGTTTTTTTTGTGATTTTTGTTGATAAAGATTATTAAATGTTTCATTAAAATATAAGAAATCATTTTTTTTAATTGTATATTTTTAAACACACACGCACACATATATGGGATAATTATGGATAATTTATTAAATAATATGCCTGCCATCCTTCATGCTGAAGCAAATATAAACAGAGAAGCTAAATTATTTAGCTTGAAATTTAAAAGCAAATGTTTAGAAATTATCAAAATATGCATTGAAAATTTAGTTTGAGAGATAGCTAGATCTAGGCAGTATGATTGTGAGTTTATCTGTGAAGAGCATATAGAGGTGATTTGTAAAGTGAAATTATCACAGATTGTTTTGTAATAACAGAGTGGAGAAAAATAATTCATCTTGTAAATTGTGTCCTGAAGTAATTGAACCAGCCTATGTGGACTTTGATGAAAAAGAAACAACTATTTAAAGCTCTGGATACAGCTGTGATAACCAACAGCTATAGTGATGATTTTAAAAGGAAATTTGATGAAAAAGAGACAATTGTTTAAAGCTGTGTTTACAACTGTGATAACCAACAGTGTAACAAACATTTGTATATTTTTTGACTTGATTTAATATATATATATTATTTTAAAACAATTGGACTGTGTGCTGTTTGTTTATTGTTGAAATTTATCACCAAAAAGTCACAGACACCTACTATAAAAAATCCGGTCCATACATAAAAACCTGACATTTTCATTATTGTAACTTTCTCCCTAGATCCAAGAAACATGGCCCAGTGACTAGTACGCTGGACTGTGGATCTGAGGTTCCACAGTTCATGCCCCTTTACTACTTAAAAAAGAAAGAATTTGCATTCCATACTTTGGAGCCAATGGTGTGTTATAAAAATGATGTTCAAATATCACTCTTTTTTTGTGAAAAGAGTTGACAGTGGGTGGTGTTGGTTGGTTACCCTTCCTCTAGTCTATCACTTCAAAAGTAGAGACTGCTAGAGTAGGTAGCCCTCATGTCAACAAACAAACAAGCATTGATGTAAAAAATCCAGTTGATAAGGTAATTAATATACCACAGTCTATTATTTGTCAGTCTTATATAATGTTGTTCACTTCAAGTTAAAGCTTTTATGCTATGGAACTTTGAAATGTATATTTTAAAAATAATTGTTTTGAAGATTTTTGTAACAGTCTTAACTAGTAAGTGAATATTTCAGTTTTCATGGTAATTGTTCCTCTGGATTCTAATAACAGTGTACACTGTAAAAAGTATTCAAAAACTTTTGATGCAATTTGTTTAAGCACATAACAGGCTTGGCCTTAATACCTACTTCTACACCACCTCTTAGCTCTTTTTACCTACCATAACATGAGACATGGTATATATATATACTGACCATTGAAAACATTGCAGATAATAGGTTTCTCATTTCATCAAGCTCATTTGCAATTTGTATAGAGGTCAGGAATCAGCAGTCAGATTAGAACTTTGCAGTACAGAATGATTTAAGATCCTGAACAATATTGGACATGGATGCATGATATCACTTAATTTGTACAATTTATATGGTGAATAGATTATAAGAGGAGTACTAAAAGATAAACCAAAAGAGATTCAGAACAGTTGGGCTTAAGATGAGCACCTTTAAATACACAGGGGATTCCCCCCTCCTTATAAACACTATAAAGGTGCTTGAATAAATGTTGAGGAGTAGAACAAAGAAAAGAAGATTCTTCTGAATGCAAATAAAACAAAAATTATGGTAATTGATCCCCATTGATTATGTGTGGTGATGAAAGAGTGGAATCATTTGAATATCTGGAGTTAATTATGAATACAAGCAATTATTCCAGCCTATAAATAAACAAAGGCTGGGGATAGCAGGAAATAATCTGTCAAGTCTTTTTAAGGAAACAAATAACGTGAAGCCACCGTACTACCACTCATTCTGGGGATTTGGGTGTTATACCTCATTGTTTACTCAGCTGTTTTTTTGGATTTGAGTTCTGGACTGTAAAGAAAGAAGATGAAATCAAATTTCATATACTTAACTTTGCTATTTTAGAAGAATTCTCCAGGTTTCATGGATAGTAAGGAGAAGCAATAAATCAATACTGGCAGAAATAAGAGCTAAGAAAAGGCTGTTGGAGCCTACCCATCACAAAAAGCTGAGTTATTTTGGTCATATTGCTAGATGAAATAACAGTTTGAAATACACCATCTTGTAAGGAAAGAGAAAAACTTGCATCCAGGTAGGAGAACAATGTCTGAAATATGACAGGATTAACCATGGAACAAGCCAAGAGAAGAACTCGGAGCAAGGTGGAGTGAAGAGATTCTTTTGAGATGCTGCTAAGTTCATTTGGCATGCTGAATAAAAATGGCACTGTCTCTTTTGATATCCACATAATAGGACCTATCTTTTGTATTTTTTCACCAAGCTTTTTGTTTATATTTTTATTTCTGTTGAAAAGCCCTCTTTGTTCAATTGTAAGCTTTAATGCTTATAATGCTAAAATTCAAGGTTAGATCCCTGTTGTGTGTACATTATCTGCTTAACAGACAAATACAAATCTTAATTATAATGTTATAACTTGTTTTACTTTATATTAAATCTCACTGAGTTTTATTCATTAAGTCCTTGATGGTGTTTATCTATTTCAGGTAAACCAGCACTTCATTTTTTTTCTTTTTTGAAGGATCAGTTGCTTCCACTTACCAATACATATAAATCTATTTTCTTGATCTGTTAACATTTTATTATATGAAGATTTCCTACCATTTGTAACTTTTTTTTATCATAAATTTTTGTAAGTTTTATTCTTTCCATATTTGAACAACTTTTGTATTAGTTTATGCATTAATATCAAGATGGGTTTTTACAATTTGAAGTATAATAATTAGTTATTGTATATGTATATACAGTATTGTTGTTTCTTTAAATGATGAAGATATACTTCTTGTAAAAACTATTTTTTTGGTACATTATGCTTAAATTGATTCATTCAAACTTACTGAACTTCGAAATGTCTAAATGATCATTATAACAATTTTCTTGAGTAAAAAATAACTTGTGAAAACAAGTATCTTGTCAGATATTTTATACAATTTATTGTATATAACTGAAACATATACAAAAAGTAGTTAGTTTCATATCCTTGACTGATTCTTTTTTCTTTTTTTAAGAGTAAGCACGAATTTCCAGAGATGAAAGAAATGGAAAAAATGGGTAACCAGGTATGTTAGCTTTACAATACTTACAACAGTAATTATTAGGACCATTGTCAGTGTCCTCACATTTCTGTTGCTGTAGGTCATTCTTTAAGAGCTTGGAACACATAATTTTAAGATTGTACAGTGTAATTTAGGCTGTTGCAATTGAACAAAATGACATTTTTTATTCCTTTTGACTGTCATTCTTTGAACTCTATAATGTGTGATACTGCAAATTCTTGCAAATGAACAAAAATACTCATACCAATTAGAAATTCAAACTGCAGCTCAAAAACCACGAGTATTTGGAAGAAATAATTTTTATAAGATATAAATTCAAAAATTTCTTCTCAAGGAAAATACTAGTTCTGCTAAACATTGGCATGCCAGAATGAAAATAATAAAACAAATATATATATATATTTAGAGAGAGATAGATAAATAACATAATATTGTTATTTTATTTAGATTTTTCTTTATAGGACCTTTTTATTGTACCTAAATCAAAAAATTATGATGTTATATAGCATAAGCTTTTAGCACCTTTGTCAGATACATGGGAAACACTTTAATATTAAATCATATTTATTGGGTAAAAATTTGTCAATATATTATACAAAAATTTGATCCCTTTTTTTTTTTAGTTTGAAAGCCCAAGTGGGTAAAAACTTTAAGATTAAGATATCTTTCAATACCATAAAACAAGGTGATGTGGGACAAAATCTACTTCATCTAACTTTGCTATTAATATCAATAAAGTATTGATTGGACTATCACACTATTTCTATGATATTAACTTTACTAAGCTTTCAGTGAAGCACAATACTACATTCACAGATGATACAATTTACTTTTTTATCATATTTGATATATATTTATCATAAATTTATATCTATTTATCTCTTTTTCAAAAACTGTGATGTCTGGTGGATGTATACTATTCATCATTGTTAAATATGTGAGATGAGGCATTCTCATTTTGTAAATTTTGTGAATTTTTAAACATTTTGGTAATTCTTATACAATCAAATGTTGGAGAAAAAGAGACTACGAGTAACTCATCCATAACCACCCTGTTGTTTGGTGATTAGAACCATGATATATATTTATTTTTTTTAATCCTGGACCTTATAGGTTGCAATACTGGGCTATCTATCTATCAATTTTATTTATGTTCAAGCCATAGTTTTAGAATTGAGGTTAATGGATGTGTTGCCAAAAAAATTGTATTCCTCATCATCCTGTTTTACAATGTTTTTAATTATAAATATGGAGTTGGTGAAAACTGTGCATCTGGAATTTAATTTTAAAATCATGTAAAAGCACATACCAATATTAATAATATTGAGAACGTTTTTACTTTGTTCCAGATGAAAGAAGAATTTTCACAAGCACTGGCAATTGTCAACTCAGAATTAACACAAACAAAAGAAGAACTTGTGTAAGTCTAATTTTTTTTTCTTGCATGATTGCAGAGTGGACCCCTAAATAGATACCCTGTTAAGAGTGTATTTAAGGTTTATAAAAAGGCCCGGCATGGCCAGGTGGTTAGGGCGCTCGACTCGCAATCTGAGGGTCGCGGGTTCGAATCCCCGTCCCACCAAAGATGCTCGCCCTTTCAGACGTGGGGGGCATTATAATGTGACGGTCAATCCCACTATTCATTGGTAAAAAAGCAGCCCAAGAGTTGGCGGTGGGTGGTGATGACCAGCTGCATTCCCTCTAGTCTTACACTGCTAAATACACTAGGGCTTGTGCAGATAGCCCTAGTGTAGCTTTGCATGAAATTCAAAACAAACAAACAAAGGTTTATAAAGGTAGGTAGCAATTTGTTTTCATAAATATATCTTTACCACCTGTAGTAATATCTGCATTGAATATAAAATGACACTAGAAAAGGTAGGATACATACTTTAGTAAATTTTTTTTTTTCATCCTGAAATGAGTTAGCCATTTATCCACCTTTTGCAATAAAATACCAAATAAATTACAGGAAATTGCATAAAAATTATTTGAATTTACTAGTTAATATTATTTAAGCAAAGAGCATTCTCTAAAAATATTTACACTTATGATAATTTTTATTGTCCTGCTTGTTGAGGAACACATCATATTTCTCAGAATAAATCAGGCAAATGGTAAAACATGGCTGAGAGAGAAAGAATGTGTGTGATATCTAGGCTTGTAAAATAAATTCAGTTTTGGTTTTGTTTTACCATGTAATCTTTAACTGTTTCTGTTTTTGATTCCCTGCTCTAACATGTACATGCCATGCAGTATATTTAGAGTGAAACCTGAAAAGCAATACTAGAAAGATTTGTTTTCAGATGATGCCTTAACTGTATTGGTATAATCATTTATGACCATTATGAAATGTTTCCCTTTGTGGAATTGGTGTAGGTCATTGAATTTATGTTTATTGGTTGACATCTATATATTCCTTTTAAATTCATTTATCTTTGCTAGTTTAAATAATGGTGATGGAATGCATATATTTATGAAAAGTTACTTAGACCTGAAACAAAACATATTTGAGTTGAATCAGGTAGAACAGAAGTTAGAAAAAATAGAGGAATAAATAAAATTTTAAATTAAAAACCGAGTGAAAAACAGAAGTTTGTATTTAAAAACCAAAACGATTTTATAGTTTTATGTAGCTTAATAAATTTAAATATATTTCTTAATGTACACATGCTAATTACTTGTGAAGTAGTCTTACAATGAAAGTTTTGAAGTTTGTTTATGATGAGTTTAAGGCTTTTTTCATTATGCATTAGTTTAAAGATATGGTTTGTGCTTTTACAGCACAAACAAAAATCGCTGCCTCATTGAACATGTGACAAAAATTCAAGCTGTTCATGTGGCCACTTACAAGCAGATAAAGATAAATTGATAGATGGATGCTTTGGCTCATGGTTTTGCTAATTGGCAGTGTGGGTGCTTCCAGTAGTAGAATGCTTGGAATTCTGGCAGGATGTGGGTGTAGCTAATAACAAGTAGCTCTCTTTATGTTCTGGTGATAATTGCTATTCGTAATGAATAAATCCCTGCCACTGAGTATGATTGTGTTCATGATTGATTGACAGTAGGCTAGATGTTACATATCACAATTAAATATACATTGAGTTTGTAACATGAAAGGAATATAATCAAGCTAATAAAGGGCAACATTTTTGTGATTAGTAACCTGTAACATTATAAATACTGTAGCATTCATTTTTATGATTAGTAAATTTCAGTATTATGAATAACACCATATGTTCCTACACTTTAGCCTCTTAGTATTTTGACTCCCTAACGAAAGAGTTATTTTTTTCAAACACACATCATCACCTTGAAAGGTTCAATACCTGTTCATAATCACATTTCAAATAAATTAGATTTTTATGGCATTGTCAGTGGCAAATTATAACTTGAAATGTTTATGAATTTTGAAAAGTTAGTAACTTTATTGCAATATATAAAAGTATCAAAAGGATAAAATTCATGGTACTTGTGTAAATGTAAATAATTAAAACACCATTTCTTTAAATCCCATCTTGTGGTATGCCCTGTAACATATGCAAAAAGTAACATCTCAACTGGTGTTGTTTTATTGAGACGTGCATAGACCTTTCATTTGCAGTACATACAGATCTTTGGATCTCTCACTTATTAGTTGATAATTGCTATTAGTTGCATGAAGAGTGATTTATTGATAATGTCTACATCCATAAACTGATTTCAAATGAAGAATACCCTATTTGCAGAATGATTCCACCAAAGTAGTTGATGATTTTAAAGTGAAGTGCAGAGTATGTAGCATATTAGTTTCAAAAACTTAAAGAAATTGTGTGTTTAAGTTTACAAGGATTTGCAACAGACTACAAAATTAATGTTGAAGTTGATGTGTGGCTTCAAGTTCTGGGTTGTTTAACAAACAACAAAGCCTTCATGAGTGTTACCAAAAAAATAGAATATGAGAGATTAATGATCATTGTGCTAAAAAAAGTTACACCATGCAATAAATTAAATGGTAACCTTGTATAACCAACCATATTCAATTGTTATTGATGAGGGGGTTGTTCACTTGATGAAGAAAGTATACCCATAGTGAGTTATCAAACAAAACACTATTTGCTGAAAAAAATTTGCTTCATGTATACTTGAATAATACGAGACTGGAATTTTCAGTTTTTTTAAACATTTTGGTTTTTTCACATTAGATAAATTTTATATTTGCTTCATGTGTTTCTTTTAGGAGCAATTTCAGGATTTATAAATACACATTTAGTTCCTTATATGTTTGTATATGCACTTACAAGTTTTATGTTTTTATCATTAGTTTAACTTCCTTCTTTGTTGGATGTTTCTGTTAACATTCATTCAAGACTTTCTTACAACTATTGAACAATCAAATAAAACATTTAAAATAGAAGCAGGATTAAAATATGGATAAATAAGAAAGTAACAAAATAATTTCAGTAAGTGGAAAATTTAATTATTCTGGTATTTAAAAATAAATCCATACTGGGTTTAATTACTTTTCATATTGTGCAGTCTCTTGCTAATGAACTCCGTAGTTGTTTATAAAATAATCTTATGGGATAAAGAGCAAGATCAATGCAGCTTTCAAAAATTCTGGCAAGTTTTTATTAGATGAACATTGCTCCTTCAAGAGTTAGTTAAGGTAATAATCCATGCTTGTAACATGACCAACCCCTACAAAAGATGACATTTATATTTAGTAATTGCTTTACTAACATCTTAAACTCTCATGCTGTGTGATAGATATCCAAGAAGCCTCAGCTAAGCAGCTGCAGAGCCTGTGATCAAGCAGCCTGAATCCCAAGACTCTTAATTTTGGGGCAGCCATGTCTACAACCAAAAAATCACGCGGATGTAAAGTGTTTCTCATACAATATTGTTTGGACATGCCCGCTGCAGGGATATACTTACGAATGTGGCCAAAACCATGCATCTGGCCACATCCAAAGGTGCAGTGCTTTATGCAAATACAGTAGTTGAAAATTCCTGATAACTTTTATACTGTACAGTGAAGTAAATACTTTTGATTTGACTTCTTGATACCAAATACTTATATTAGATATTGTTTACAATGAAAAATATGCTTACGTTTATTTTTAAATTTAGTATTATTATTTTTTTTTATAAACAGAAAAAAAAAATTTTTCCACTAAAATATCATTGAATAGTTATACATATTTTAACATATTATGGCCAATATTTACTTTATTTGTACATAATGTCTTCTAAATATAAGATAATACAGTTTAAATTTTATAAAACATTTTAAAAAGTTTAAAGTACTATGTTTGAAACAATGAAAATATTCTTAGATTATGCGTAATGGTCATCTGTTTGTATTAACTTGTGACTAAGAATTGACAGTCTCACCACAATATGTTGGACAAGTTTAGTTCCCACAAAAAATTTTCAAACTTAAATCTGAATTCTGGAAAATAAAGTATTAATACAAATTCTTAAAATGATATCATAATACCTTCATATTTACATTTTTGATGGCCTTAAAATCATTTTGAAACAAGATACTACATTTTCTCTATGTAACATTGTATCTGTAATACTACATTATCTAAAACTAGTAAGCATTTTAGAGTAACTAAAGTCAATTTCTGGTTTTTGCAGAAAATTTCATTTAAATTTGAATACTTATTTATTATGAGACGTCAAAAGTAGTTGCACCAGAAGAATAGCTTAGTCTTTTTTCTGTCAGACTGCTCAGTTTCATTGAAATACCTTTGTAAATGAGTTAAATATTCAAAGTACCCCTGGACAGTACTTTGTGCCATCTTAAACTGTCCTTTTTTTTTAATTATTATTCTGGTTAAATGATTAATAATTAGAGAAATAACAATTCACCAAAATTATGATTCATAGTTGTTCATTAGCCATAGTTTGATACATGGTTCATTGTGCTGCATTTCAGTTTGCTATTTCTTTTTCTTCTGAATGTCCTTTTGTGTTGTATAAAAGCAAATGCTTTAACTAATGTAAATTACAAATTTTATTTTCTATGCAAGTGCATGATAAGTAGGTGTATTGTGTAACTGTTCTAAATATAGATTTCTTTATTTTTAGTATTGTGGCTTGGAAATTCCAGTATTCAGGTTTCTAATTTTTCATGAATAACACATATCAAATTATTCAATAAATGGTAAAATAAACTACCACGTGCTGTGTCAACAGTGACTGATTTATCAAAGCATAAAATACAGGACACACCTTTTCCCTAAAAATCATTTATTTGGAATTATTCTGGGTTTGAAATTTTAGACCAAAACAGAGTAAGAAAAACTGATTATTTGAAAACTATATAAAATTTGTAAGGTGGAGGTCAGTTATAAAATGGGAATATCAAACGTGGTGACACATATGAGAAGTAAATATGATATTCATTACAAGAAACGAAGGAGATTAAAAGTAAATTCCAACAACTTCATGTTCTGCATGCAGTAAAGGGCAGTGCTCCTCAGCTGAAACTCTGGGAAGTGTTTAAAGTTAACTTAAACCCAAACAGTCAGAAGGCAAAAGAGATAAGAGCTGTTGGAATGTTTATGACTAAAGATACAAGACCATTTTCAGTGGTGAATAATTCTGGATTTAAGACTCTTACTTAAGAGTTTGCTTATGCTTAAGCTTCCTCAGCATAAGTTGATTCAAGATGTCCAAACCAGGTGGAATTCTAGATTTGACATGCTGTCTCCTTACTTGAAACAACAGCTAACAACTTTTAATGGCTGGAGACGGCTTAAATGGGTAATGAAGAAAAACTGTAATATAAGTTTAACATGACAGCGAATGTACAAC